AGCCTCAAGGTTAAATGGAAAAAAAAAAGTTAAATGAGATGTGCACAATACAGAATCAGGAAATATTCCTACCATTCAAGATGGGAATCTTTACAGTGTCAATTCCATACAACATCCATCTTAACATTTAAAAATAAAATTATTTAAAGCTGTGGTATATACACAATAGATTAGATTTAAAAAGGAATGAAATTCTGATATATGCTGCCACATGGATGAACTCTGGAAAGATTATGCTAATGAAACAAGAAAGCCCATGGGAGACTTACTGTTTTATTCTTACTCATCCTACCCATCCCTCTTTGCAATTAGGCAGGGCCATGTGACTACTTCTGGCCCATGGGTTGTGACACATCCAAGATGAATTTAATTGCTGATGCAAGACTAGTGCTCTCTTCCCTTGCCACAGTGGGGAGACCTGGTGTTAAAATGATAGAAGCACAATATAAAAGCCTGGATTACAAAATCATCAATTGGAAAATAGTTGGCTATGCAGATTGCCCAGATTCACGAGGGGACTTTGGGTGAGGGAGAAATAAACTTTTGTTGTGTTAAACCAATGGGATGTGGAATTATTTGTTACTGCAGCAAAAACTAGGCTGTCCTAAAACATAATGTAATGCAAATATTTTGGGTATTTCTGCTTTAGTGCAACTTTAAAAATGTATGAATATGGCTTGGGGGTGGTCCATGAACCTCTGAAATTACATACAAAAATCTGGGTTATATATTTTCTGAGACTATATAACTGTCAAGATGTCCCTTCCCAAACTCTACATTGTCATTAGCAAGAGTGAAGAGAGGGCCCCAGAATTAAAACCCTCCTCTTCCCCCAACTCACAGCTTCGATAAGTACTTATTAAATTATTGAAATGAAAGATGGTCTGTAACTTTCATCATAATCTCAAAGAACTTCATGACCCAAAAGCTTAAATCCAAACAGGTAGACAAAATATTTCCTAATAAATTATCCTGTCTAAATAATCCAAATATTCTGAGAAACATCTGAAAGGATGAAGATTCACCCTTGGTAAGATACTGAAATTTGAGTGAAAGTGACCTATAATAAGATATTTTGTTCTGAAATAATGAATTTCTAAAATGAGAAGGATATTTTGAATATAGCTAGGTAAGCAAATACAGTGTTGATAAATATTATCAATAATGTGCATTTCAAAAACTCCAGGACCAATTGTGAAACAAAGAAAAATTTAATATTTATTATGCATTTTTATACAGTAACATCAAAATTATGCTCAGTAAGTTACATAGCTGTTTTCTAAAAACACTGCAAAAAAAGTAAAGATAAAAAAGGAATGCTATATAACCAGCACTACTCAAAATTAAAAATATAGTCCTCTTTTAAACAGATTTAAATTGATTTCTCCATGAACCAAAACATTTTAAATATCTAAAAATCATCTTTCTTAATGCACTGGATAATATATAAAGGTTCAATTTTATTGCACATAACATATTTGATTTAGGCTTATTTGATCAGGTAACATGCAAGTTATGAATATGAATTTAGGAAAAGGCAGAATGTTATTTTGTACTACAAAAATTGGGTGAAGTGATACATTTAACAGCTTAATCTTCAGAAAATTTTATTCAGCTATTATATAAAATCACTAAAATCATCACACATACGAGCTCAGAGCTATCATATATAGTAAAATAGCTCTGTTGGAGCATTTAAAATAAAACAGGAATCCACTACTCTTAGAATTGACACCAACTACCACTTGCCTTGCCACCCAAAAAGGTGGTTTTCACATCTGTTTTAAAAACACTAAATAACAAAATCTTAAATACAGACATATATTTGGTTATGACAAAAATATTCTCATAATTGACACATAATCACAATTTTATCATTTTAAATAGGAAAAACCAGAGGAAACTGGGGTTAGACACCCTGTAAACCAGTTTCTAAATAGCTAGTGAAACTTGTTCTACTTCTTAAACTCATTTGGCCAAGCGCTATGGTAGTTGTTTTGAGAATCTGTAAACATTTCTCACTTATTTATATAGTTTCCTGAGGTCATCTAGAAACTATTGTTATTATAGCAGCTTCACAATTTAGTACCCCTGCAAATGTGCTTTTCAAAATGTTAATAAAAACAAAAAATTAAGTGTAGGCCCATGTGTAACTTAACATACTTTCCCTATTACAAGTCTATCTTTAGGAAATTCTTAGGTATCAAAATCAAATTTATTCCATTACCAGCAGACCCTGAAAAATATTCATAAACTGTATGCCATAAAAAAATAGATTTCAGACTTTGCTCTTTTACCATGAAATGAAAATAAAGTATCTCTTTGTTACTTCTGGAATAATGTCTAAAACATATATAGGCCTCTCCATTTTAAAACATGTTAAAAGAGTGTCAGCACAGTGCCTGACCGGTAACAGGTGTTCAAAAAATATATACTTACTGAATAAATGTTAAGCATAAAAACTAGTGCAGTACTTGAGTACAGAGGTAATGTTCTAAAGCTACAATGTATCACTCAATGAAAAATCAGTCCTAACTGGCACTCAAAATAAAGCTCAAAAGGTCTCTTTGGTAAATACAGCACTGGTGCATTTCCTGACATCTTATTAATGAAAAGAGGACTAGGCACTTCCCTTGATTCCTGCCCTCACCTATCTCACCATCTCTCACTTTAGCTGTGTAAGGGATAAAGCCAAGGGGCAACAGAAAAGAATGCTCTTGTTTCTTTCCTATCCTTTTTTCTTCCTTTCCCTTTCTTTCCTTCTTTCTCTCACTCTTTTTCTTGTTTTTCTTGTTCATCTATCAATGAAACAAGAAGCAAGTGACCACTCAATGAAAAATATGCGCCTCATAATGGTATCTTTTTTAGGAGAAAAATGAGGTGACTTAATTTTTTTTTTTTAAAGATTTTATTTATTTATTCATGAGAGACAGAGGGAGAGAGAGAGAGAGAGAGAAGCAGAGGGAGAAGCAGGCTCCCAAGGAGCAGGGACCCCGATGCGGGACTCGATCCCAGGACCCTGGGATCATGACCTGAGCCGAAAGCAGACGCTTAACCATCTGAGCCACCCAGGCGCCCAGGTGACTTAATATTTACATTTGGGGAAAGGGCGGTAATTGCCATTACCAATATGGCTAACATGAATAAAGAGATTTAACTAATACTTTCCAAAAAAAAAAAATTCACTGCTCTGGTACTGAAAACTTCAATGTTAATGGATTACAAATAAACATAAAACACTGTTTAAACAGTTTAAACTACTTTTTATAGGACACAACCTGAGTTTGCAGATTAATTTATAAAGATATATTTCTCCATCATTTCACATTAAAATCAAGAAAACACTATTAAATTTCAATAACTTAAAAATAGAATTTGTGCAATGACATTTTTAAGCTCTGAGTTTTAAATATTATTACCATCTTTAACACTGATAATCACAATTCCTCTCATCCACAGATCAAAAGGCAGCACTGGTAAACTTGACAATGTCATACAACCTTAAATGTTAAGAAGGGTTAGAGGCTTGGTTAAATATTTCCACACAATATCTACAGGCCCTATTCTTATCCTTCCTTCCCAAGAGGAAAATGAACTGGAACTAGGCACTTAGCCAGTAGCTGCCCGTAGTATGACGTGTTGGCACTAATGATTAGGATGCTTGAACCATGCACATATGTGTTTTGATTCAGTAATGTCAGACCCAAGTACCCATTATTTTTTTAAATTTTAAACCTAAGTAATAGTAATATTTTCATGCCAAGTTTTGACAGCTTAATAATTTGTATTCTGGAGGGGGGGCTGTAAACTACCATATTTTTGCTATTATTTATTTAAAATCTGAAATGCCAACTTTACACCTCATTAAAATACAAGCTAAACCCACTTGAACTTATTAATGATGCTTGTTGATGACAAAAAAAAGTGATCTCAAACCCCAAAACCATGATTAATGTTTACTGACCTACAGAACTAGAAAATTATATTTCCCGGTCTAGTATAATAAGAATATAATTCTCTGTCACTCACAAATATAATTTCGTAATTTATATTTAAAAGTATCCAATGGTCCCATATGGGTTAACAACTTCTATTTACCAATTCTGCATTTTACAATTATCAATAATTATATTTTGACCCTGGCTGATTACATGCAAATTATCCTCAACGCCATCATGAATAGGCTGCAAATAATGTTAATGATATATTTCATTATTTTTCTAGTTCTCAAAACTTCAAAGCAATAAGCTAATCAATAAATTATTTGTAGAACCCTATTACTGAAGCTACAGTGGTATCTTTTTATATGGTTGAATCACACAAAATATGATGAGGTCACTGTCTAAGTATATGTTATACCAATGTTTCTTACACAGTGGTATACATACACCACTGGACAGCCCTGAGATGATTTTAAGTGGAGTGCTACATGGATGAACAATTTTTCTCTAATAGTTATAGATTTATTTTAATGTTTATTAGAAATAATATAACTAGTACATAAAATGTGGAATATGCTCAAAACAAGGCTACGTTTAAAAATGTAAGGCTGAAAACTAAGGTTAAAAATAATTAAACAATGGCACAGGATTATGTATATATATAAAATCAGAAAGGTGGTATGCAACTCACATTTGGTAAACACTGTTTTAAGAAACAATTTCATTAGCCAGCATCATTTCTGAATGCTCATGGTAATAAGCCACATTATAATGGGGGGTTTCCTCTACTGCTGCAAATTCTGTTTTTTTCTAGGACAAATATTCCTTAAAAACGTGTTTACATTTATTTTAAGAATATAAATTTGAAAGCATTGAGTAAATTTAATTTACTTTAAAAGGATTCACCAAAATGGTAAAAATCTTCAGGGGCATTTGAGGGACATGCTATTCCTACAGAAGAGAAAAGATTACAAAGGCACATTACATATTATGGTTTTTGTTGCAGCATTTAAACAAAAGCGATCTAAACCATCATTATCACTAATTATTAACAGACAATTATAATATTCTTTCATAGAAAAGAAGGTAAGCTTGTGCACTAAGTGCTCTTGATTCTGGAACCACCTGCACGTAAGTGTCACTAACATGGACCCACTGGCCTGTCGATTCACTGTCAGGTTCTTTCAAACCTAACAAGACAAAAAGAAGTATAATTTTACAATAAGTATGTTCTTAGTCTACATTATAAATAACAACACATTCATCACAAACTATATTTATCTAATGCTAGATCTTATTGGTGTGTTTCTTTTGGGTTAAACATTTTCCGAAATCAACTAACTCTTTCAAAGCAATATTGGCATCACTTCACTTTAAATATCTAGTGAAATATTAGACTTGTAAATATTTATTTGCTCAAGGAAAAGAATCATTTTCACTGAAATAGAAAGAAAAAAAACAAAGTCAGCTTGTTCATCCATAGGCAGAGTCTGCGAATTTTCAACCTCAACTCTATTCTGAGGACCTGATAGGTCTTCAAAATCTTTTGGTGTTGTTAAGTAAAATGCCACTCCACCGCAATACACAATGACTTAGCACCCTGAAAAACAGTGTGTCACTTCATATCATCTAGAAGGGTACAGTCTTATGATATTTAAGGTTCTTTAAGATTATCTAAGTACTCTTAAAAGTACTTCTCACTTAACTTTAACAAAGTGAATCCACTTGCAGTATCCATGAAACAGCTTACCTCTTCCAGAAAAGGAAGAACACATTCATTTGTTTTTAGGAATAACAAAAACTCAGGATGCCATACCAGGTACATATGTCTTTCCAGTGATATGCTCCAATAATTTCCTGGAGGGTGTTCTCACTTTCACATAAGCCGTGTAGTGACCTCCCCTCATTGAGCCACTATGTTCCACCACGCCATAGAGACCATAGAGAACTTTATCTCCCACACTTACATTCTTTTAGACAAAGAAAAAACTGGAATTAGTAATTAGTGAAATATTATAATAGCGAAAATTAAGTCAAATATACATCCTGCTTAAACTAAGAAAAAATGCATTGTTAAAACAACACTGAAATGTGTTTCCACATGTATTAGACTGGCAAAATGCAAAAGCCTGACAACATTCTCTGTTGGCTGGGCTGTGGGGAAAACAGTATTCACACACATTGCCTGTGGGAACACAAAAGGGTTACAATCCTATGCAGAGGTATTTCATGTTATCTAGCTGAATTACACAGGTATTACTCTTGGATTTATCAATCCTACTTGTAGGATTCTATCTTACAGGTACATGAGCAAAATGTAAAAAGACATACTATTAGTTATTATTTTGGCTCTTAACTGCAGGAATATTTGTAATATCAAAAAACTGGAGACATGGAGATATAATGTACAGTACATGGGATATAGGTAATAATACTGTAACAACTTTGTATGGTGACAGATGGTAGCTAGATATATCATGATCACTTTGTAAGGTATATAAATGTGGAATCACTATACCGTATACCTGAAAATAATATTGTATGTCAACTATACTTTGACTAAAAACAAAATGGAATAAACCCAAAAAAATCGGTCCCCATTAAATTGGGGACTGGTTGAATAAATTATGATGCATTGAATGTTATGTTGCTTGAAAAATAGAGTGCAGACTATCTCAAAATACTGCTATGAAATAATCTCCAGGATATAATGTTAAGAGTAAGGTAGAAAAAAGGATACATATTGTAAGCTGTGATTATTTAAGAGTGAAGATGAATACATACATATCTATCTGCTTATATTTTTAAAAATTACAGAATAAACAATTTTTTTTTATTTTTTTAAAGATTTTATTTATTTGACAGAGAGAGACACAGCGAGAGAGGGAACACAAGCAGGGGGAGTGGGAGAGGGAGAAGCAGGCTTCCCGCTGAGCAGGGAGCCGGATGCAGGGCTTGATCCCAGGACCCTGGGATCATGACCTGAGCCGAAGGCAGCCGTTTAACTGACTGAGCCACCCAGGAGCCCCAAGAATAAACAATTTTTAAATGGCTTATATATAAAGGGAGGAAAGAAATAAGTGGAATGGACATGGAGAAGAAAAGCTATACTTACTTGAATTTATCTTGTTTTATACATTTGATACATGTGATTTTGGAACTATATAAATATTTTATGTGTTTAGTAAAATTTTGAACGCTTAAATTTAAATTTAAAAAGCAATCCCTAAAATGACAATATAAAAATTAAACAGGTGAATAATATATTCCAGTTGGCAGCATAATCATTCCACTAAGGTCATGTCAAAAGAACCCAGAAGCCTGCTTGAAGTGGCTTTCAGTAGCCAACTATGGACCCATTTATATTCCATTAATATGTTAGACCACGAATAAAAAGAAAAGTGTAGTAAGCTGAAACATATTTAATGTGTTTCAATCCATAAATTAATAATCATAAATTAATTGATCATAGTTTAAGGATGCCAATGAATTAACTCATTATTCTGAACTGGTTTAGAAGGGGAATAGGTAAAGAATCAAACATTTATCTAGCCTTTTCTATAAAAACTGTATTATAAGATAACTAAATAGATAAAGGAATTTCCCTCTGTATAGAAGCGCTCCAGTTGGGGTGCCTGGGTGGCCCAGTTGGTTAAGCATCTGCCTTCGGCTCGGGTCATGATCCTGGGGTCCTGGGATTGGGCCCCGCATCGGGCTCCCTGCTCTGCAGGGAGCCTGCTTCTCCCTCTCCCTCTGCCTGCCACTCCCCCTGCTTGTGCTCTCTCTCTCTCTCAAATAAATAAAATCTTTAAAAAAAAAAAAAAGGGAAGTGCTCCAGCTAATCAATGAAGAAGGAATGACAGATTTAAAATATCACCATTCTGTAATTCTTAGTGAACTTCTGGATCTAGCATTTGAGCATTACTGCTTGCTAATATCACAGAAAGAAAGATAAGTGGCATTATGTGCCACCTAATAAAAAAAAACAAAACAAAACACGCCCTATAAGATAGCCTTAGCAGGGGGAACAAAAGAGCATCAAACCTGTATCTGTTCAAGCCTCTTAAGAGCCAATTATCTATCCACAGGAAATAAAGATGACAGGGGAAGAATCATCAAGATCTAAACAGAAACTACCAGAAATATGACTCAGTTTCTTAAAAAAATAAATTGCAAGGGAGAGAAAGGGAAAGGGATGTGAGAGAGGAACTATACATTAGAAGAGACTAAAAGACATTATCCAATCATAATGTGTAGCCTTTACTTGGATACTAATTCATTTTTAAAATTTCATTTGTGAGACAACAGGAAATATATACATTAGATGATATAAAGGAATTAGTGCCGAATTTTTTTTTTTTTAGTATGAAAGTGGTATTGTGGTTATGTTCTTAAAAAGGGGGAGGAAGTGATTCTTATCTTTTATAGATGCACAGAAAAATATTTATGAATGAAATAATACTTGATATTTGCTTCAAAATAATATGGGAAGTAGTAGGTAAGCATGTGGATATGGCAGGACTGGCCCTGTACCTAAGGTTTTAGAGCTAGGTGATGTGTGCTATATAGGTTCATTGTACTGTTCTGCCTACTTTTGTGTATGTTGGAAATTCTCCATAAAAAGTACCTTTTAAAGATGTGTTTTTATAAATTTAATACAAAACTTGTTAAATTTCATTTTGTTTACCACATTATCAAATTCTATGAATACAGAGTGTTAATAATTGATAGACAGTGCTGGTATTCTACAGCAGATAAATTGGACTCACCAAATAGTAGCTTTTAAGGTATTTTTGTTTTGATTCATCAATGTATGGCATAAAGTATTAAGTTCAATAAGCATTCCATTACATACCACAAAACCTAGGCTGCTAACCAATAATCATGAACAGAAAAATATGTTACCCCATAACATGTGTGGTTCCCTCAAGGAAGACAAAGTCATTGAATTCACCTACACAGTTCTCACATATAAATACAAGCAATTATAAACCAGTCTTCTATATCTATTAAAGTATTATCAATTTTACAGTATCCTACTCAGCTAACAAGTACACTATTTTCAGTAGTGTACATGAAATAGCATGAAAAACAATGCACTAGTATATTGACTCACAAAAGAGAATGAACTCCATGACTGCTAAAACTATTGTCGATTAAGCACATCATTCACAACGAACAGGAGAGGGCACAAAATCTGCTTACTTCTCTCCGCAACTATCTGTTTCTAGTAGCACTGACAAGCAGCATTGCTCTTCCTGACCACCATGCTAATGGTTCACACAGCTTTTCAACTGTCCCTTATTCTGTCTCCCAAAGGACAAAAGTCATATTCAGTGTGTTAAATGTTCCACGTTACGGATTTAACTTCACCAACTATAAAATTCCCTTTCAGAGAAGCTGAATGAATGAATGAATGACCTAATACTTTTAAGCATATTATTTACAAGTCAATTAAACATCTTAATAACATACTATACCTTACAAGTAGCAGAACAGAATGGTCCTAAATCAAGTGTAAGTGGAAAATCTACATGTCTGTTTACTTTTCGAAGACTCAAGCCAGCCTTAAAAAGACCAAAAAATAATTTTTAATGCAACAAACAATTCATCTAAGTCATTGTTAATAAAACCAAAAGAGGAATCCTAGAAGTTAGTTTTTTTAATAGCTATAAAAACATGACTAACGAATAGTCCAAAACTGACATATAAGTTTGAGACTATTGATTAGTCTGTAAATATTTCCTTTTAAGGGCATGAATTCTTTCTGTAAGTTCCTAAATTGAGATGCAGTACCAAATATAAAATAACTGTGGTACATCATGAAATCAGCTTCTCAGATCTGACATGACCCTATCTTGCTCAGAGTAACTGCACATATACACCCTTCACTAGGCATTCTCATGTAATGAGACACAAGACATCTGCTTCTGCTGTGCACAGCCATTTCACTTCCACTGAGTTTCTACATTCTTGGCTATCACAAATCAAGAATTTAGGGGTGCCTGGGTGGCTCAGTCGTTGGGCGTCTGCCTTCAGCTCAGGTCATGATCCCAGTGTCCTGGGATCGAGCCCCGCATCGGGCTTCCTGCTCAGCGGGAAGCCTGCTTCTCCCTCTCCCATCCCCCTGCTTGTGTTCCCTCTCTCGCTGTCTCTCTGTCAAAAAGATAAATAAAATCTTAAAAAAAAAAAAATCAAGAACTTAGTCTAATTTTTCTGTGGATATGGATGGGGGTGTATAGAGAAAAATCTCTTCCTGCCTACCTGTGGCCCACCTGAAATGTTGCAGATATATAATCAAAACTCCTAATCTTTTCCTTGAGATTTCTTTCATGGGTTTTATACTTAGAAAATCTTCCCCCAGGCAACACCCTTGGGTCCCCTCCCTCCTTGGGAGTTTTGTACTATCACTTTGCTATCACTCAATAAACCTTGCTTTGCTGCCCACCAAAAAAAAAAAAAATCTTCCTCCCAGAGGTCAGGTTAATATTCATTTAAGTTTTCTTCTAGTCTTTTGAAGATTTGTTTCATACAGTTAAAATATTTATCTGAAAATAGTATTGATACATGGTATAGAGGGAAGCTTTATATTTTTTATTTCAGCTCTTTTTCCTAAATCCTTTATCAAATAATCTACCCTGTGGGGTGTCTGGCTCAGGTGGAGGAGCAAGCAACTCTTGATCTTGGGGTTGATCTTGGAGTCATGAGTTTGAGCCCACGGGATTACTTAAAAATAAATAAACTTAAAAACAAAATAATCCACCTCTTTCCCAACTGATTTGAGATTATTCCTTTATCATAACAAGAGCTTTAAATAATACTCATGTTTTATTTATTGACAATCTCGACCATACTGTTTTAATTATACAGTTTTAGTTTTAAACTGGTGTCAAAAAAACCACCCATTCTAACTTTTTCCAAAATGTTTTAGTATTTGACTTATTTACTCTTTCAGAGAAACTTTAAAATCATTACATCAAATGCAAAAACAACAACAAAAAAACCCACATAAAACAAAAAACCAGACAAGGCATTGGATTAAAACTAAGCATAGAGGAAAACCTGACACATTAAAAACATTTAGGTTCCCTCTCACTGTACAGTCCCTACCTTTGCATTTTGTAGCCCTTTTTGCATTTAGTCCAAGCCAACCATGCCCAGCCCACTTACCCCTATCACTGGGATCCTGAGAGCTCAGAAAGCTATGTGCACTTTGCTATTCCCTGCTTCTAAGGATTCTTAATAAACTTTATTTTTCATTCTCTCTCTCCCATACAGGTGCGTGCACACTCACTCACACACACCCCTTAGGTTCCTACCACCTAAATCATCAAATACAGTATCATGAATTAAACCATTTTATTTAGAAAAGTCTTGTAAGCTTTTATGGATGAAAAAAGCAGTAAATCCTTTATGACAAATTTTTAAATTAAACAAGTTACTGTCTAATCCTTTGACAGCATTTTACAAGACGTAGGGTTCTGCAAAACATATGACAAAATTACTACAGTGCTACTAAAGGGACTTTTACCTGATGGAATCTTTTAAGATGGAGAATTAGGATAGCTGGAACAGCAGAAATGAGCAATTGCTTCCTGGCATTAGTATAAACCCCTTCTGCTTTCTTTTCTGCATAAAATATAGTAATTTTTTTGTAAAATTCCATTTTATACATTATATACCACATAACAGAGTTAACATTTATAAAGAAGCATCATACCATATTTTTGAAAATGTTAAAAAAGAAATTAGACTCTGGTGACAAGGGTGCCTCTATACTACTTTCCAAAACTCCACTGAAATGAAAGGGGTTTTTTTAAAAAGCACACACTTACAAGGACAAAGAATAGGGGACGTGAAACTTGCAACAAAATTTTGGGAGCTGAGAAGCAGATGGACTATAGCGACTTATGTCAATGCCCTCCAAAGACCACCAGAAACAGACTTGTAGTTGAAAAAAATTGGTCATTACTCATTGTAGTGAAAGGAGATCACCACAGGGCATTTCAGAGGGAAGTTGTTAGAAAATAGTTGGGATGGGATTTGAATATGGCCAACAACATATTTAACTTGGATTAATGTAAGGTGGTATTTCTTCCTTCTCCCATCTAGACATTTCTTTAATTACTAGTGTATTAAACATGTCTTTATTCTGATACTTTGATACCTAGGGCCTTGCTGTCATTATAGGGAAGACTTCAGCCACAACTAGCAAATTCCTAGATATAATAAACAATATAAGTGTGCCTCTCATATGCAAACCAACCAATCCAAAGCCCATACTCAACCACCTCCTTTATTGGGCTCTGATACGCTAGGCCACTATCTACCTGCCCTCATCACACTACGGCCAGGTACTATACAACTAGAGACAGCCCCGATGCCCCAGAGCCCACTGAAATTATTCAAAACTAGTCAATCCTAAACTTGTTGATTCTAATTCCTTCTCTGGAAACTACAACAAAGGCTCTTGTCCATGTCTTCTCCTCACTCCTTCTGCCTCCTGATCAACCCTGGTCCTTCCCCACGTGGCCCTGCGTGGCATGGCTTAGTGTCCTCCCTCCTCTTCAGAACTGTATGTAACAAACTATCTTTTCAGTGGCAACCATCTCCTGATCTATGGGCCTCAGCACAACTGAATAATTATAAAGCCTGTGTTTTGAAACAACTAGTCGCTAAGAATCAGAGTATTCTCTCCATATCAAGGCTACAGATGTACTAGTGAAATTTCTTCTGGAAAGATTTCAGACAGCTAGTCCCCCGAAACAAGATTCTGTGGATTTGCATTTCTCAAGGCAGAGATGGGTACTTCCTGTTCAATTTACTTCATCAAAAATCGATTTAGAAGTCCAGTCACTGTCTTCAGTGCTGAGGTACAACGATGAAAAAGATACATGCTTCCAAGCAGCTTACGTGTAGGGAGGGACAAGGTTCTCAGGTTCTTCTATTTGGGATCTATAACCCACTAGTCATTGACTATCAAATACCCTGTGAACACTAAGAAAAACAAAAACCTAAATGTTTACCTGGGGAACCGGTTTCCTTTTGGTACCTCTGCTTCTTTTCAGCACAATTCTCACACAGAAGCTTGTTATTCCCCATTAGTAATTCCATAGATGTAAACTGGTAGAGACAGGACTGAAGTGAGCATTCTTTAGAAGTAGTTACATAGCTCTGAGAAAGTGTCTGAAAAGCATTTTGGGGGCGAGGAGACAGCATATGCTTCTCCTCTGAAGAACATAAACTATTTGGAACACTTAGTGGCTTATTTTCTCTATCAAAATGTCTATCTCCAGTTACAGGGCTGCTCAGATGAAGTTCAGAAATAGCTTCAGCCACTCCCTTGTCACCAGTGCCAGGCTCCCTGGTGGGTGGGCCAGCTGCCGGCAGCTGGGGAGAGGGGGCATGCGGGCGCACACCGCATCCACGGCTAGACCTCAACAACACAGCCTGCTCAAAAGCACTTTCGGATTCTGAAGCCTCGCCGTCCGCATCAGCGCTACTTTCAGAACGGCTGGCCTCTTTCTCACTGCCATCGGTGGGGCTTTCAGTCAGAGCCGACTCAGTATTTGTGATGCTTGCAAATGCTGAGGAATCCCCGTTCATCTCAAGGTGCTCGTTTTTCTGGCATATGATGACTGCTCTATCTTCTCCAGATGACAATTTTCTTACACATTTTCTGCCATGAACTAGTTGATTCTGTGTTTTCAGAGAAAAGAATCTTGTGACCTTACTGAAAATAAATGCAAGTCTTATTTACACGTTCCACAATTATTAAATAAATACTTTTCCTAGACCCTCTGAAATCCATTTCCTAAATCTACCTAAACTCCAATCAATAGAAGATAGAATAACAAATAGTTCTAATTTAAAAATTAATCTTTATACAAGAAACTCACAATAGCGGTTACTTATCTGTGGAAAAAGAAGCAGGTCTTTGTAGAACAGAGCTGAGGGAGGCTTTTTAATTATAGACCTTTGTATATACTCTCTGGAGTCCTGCCACTTCAAGAGCATTATAACAGAAAAAGCTAACTCTGATAATATATCAGTTTGCCAAGTTAGTACAAATCCTATCACATAATTGAATTTAGATCCTAAATTCAAGCACACCTTAGAAAGCAAAAACAAAAAAGGTATTTATGAGACAACTACAGAAATTTAAATAATGACTGGATATTGGCACTATTAAAAAGTTATTAATATTTTTAGGTATGATGATGCACTGTGGTTATGTCTTTAAAATTAGTATTTATTTTTTATATCAGAATTATTTCAAAATAATATGAGATGGGCAGGGGGAGAATGTGGGGTAGCTATAGATAAAATATGATTAGCCATGATCTGATACCTGTGAATGTGAGAAATAGTTACATGGGAGTTTATACACTACCTCTCTACTTTTTAATAAGAAAAGTTTCAAAAATATACAAAAGTTTTTTAAAACAGATGTCTCACAAATGCATATAATCTTACCTTATCTTTAGATGAAGACTGGTTCTTGGTGGCTCTGGGTTCAGAAGTATTTTCTATAGTAACAGTCTCACTGTAGTGATCATTATCTGTCTCCTGCAAACTTCTATATTTACTCATTCTTCCCAAAAGTACTGGTTTTGAAACCTATATGGATGCCATGTACATAACACAAAACTTCTTTAGGAAATAAATTCTGGATATCACCTACTTTTTTAAAATTTCTAACTCATTTGAAATTAGGTAATTACCTTAACATTAATTCTCAAACTGTAAAACATAATGGTTTGAAATCCCTGAGAGTAAGAACTATATCATAATTTATGCATATATACACAAACCCCAGTATCAAATACACTCTATGAACTCCATTATCGTAGATAAAAAATGATTCTCAGATAATGTGATAACATGCTCAACAAATGTCTAAGTATATGAATGAATAAATTCTCTTCACAAAAGACTCATTATTAAGTTTTTTTCTCCTTACCCTTTCTTCTATTATAGGAAGTGAAATATCAATAAAGGGATCGTTCACTGAGGAGATCTTAAAAAGAAAACATATTGAGAAATTCAGTTAGAATTCTAATATAGACAATGTAGTTTTGTAAAGTCTTAAAGAAATCAAACTTCCCAGGCAACTTATAACTTCAAGTTTAAAAACAGCCCTGGAACAAACAGTGATTTTAATTGGGTAGAGCAGCACATATTGTTAATCAAAACAAAATATCCCAAAGCCTCAATACATGCAACCCAGCTGAATTTTATAATATTGCCAATACAACTAACATAATATTCAAAGTCACTTCTAAATAAACTGTGTTTAATAAAACTGATCAACTAAAGATATAAACATATTTTTGGTGAAATTGTGCCAAACATAAATCAAATAGAAATATTAAAAAAAAAAAAAAAAGCCAGAGTGCTTGACTGTGTTTTGTAGCTTCTTAGGTGAGCCCTGTTTAAAAAGATTCTCTCTAGCTTGTGAGACAGAAATCAACTTCTATGTTGAAAATACTAGAAATTTAAGTAATATGATGTTGGCAAATGCCGTGCTTCCACATGACAGGCCAGAAGAAGTAACATATAATCCTGACTTTGAAAGACGAGAGAGAAAAGAAAGGTACTCAATACTCTGGACAGGAAAATGGACATAAAGACTCTCCATTTTATGATTAAAGTCTAACAGAAGTTTACACCTATCATACTCCCATACACTTTCAGGAATATTCTTTACCAAAAAATTAAAAACCTATAAAAAGGTTTGTGTTTTAAGTTGTTGTTAAAGTACAGATGGCATTCAAAATAAAAATTATCATTACATTCAAAGACGAGTCTACTTTAAACAAAACTTCAACAAGTTATATAAATGTAAACTTTAAATAAAATGTGGTAGATCACCCTAAGTTATTAGAATCATATTTTAGGGCAATTCATAGTTATATGACATAGTTACTCCCTTCCCAGAAGATTCTCTTTCATTTCAATCCAAACAAGTAGCTAACACATTCCAGCACATTAAAGTAGGCTAAAAGAACTTCACGGGTTTGTCGAGAGGAAAAAACACTTTAAAAATTATAAATTATGTTTTTCCTCTGGGAGTGAAGGATATATCTAACGACTTTTAAAATCTATTACGTCGTCATCTGTCACTAATAAAAATAAATGCTGATGATTATATGTGAAAGAAAACAAAAATGATATGATTGTAATCTATTCCATGTTGAAGTGAATTCCAAAGCACCTACATTTGCACATTCTTCACACATGACTGTGCTAGTTAATTCACCAATAAAGATCCGATCTATGAAGTTCATTTTCACACCTTCTCTTCCATATGCTGTAAAAATAATACTTTTTAATGCAACAAATACGTCAACCATCAACCTAACAACGTAACATGCTTTTTCTCTGTTGATTCAAAGGAAATCTGAATAAGACAGATGTCCAGGACATTTAACACATTTTATTGTATGATGTTATAATGTCTTTCTCCTTTACAGTTCTGTAGAGAAAATTTGATTATCAACTACAGTAGTCTCCAAGAAATAATGAACAGCTCTTAAACTTGAGGCAAAATAAGTAGACCAGTAACCACTGTTCATACCATACCTCAACTGCTCCCATTAAACCCTTTAAAGCCTCTGTGCCTAATGTAGAGGTAGACAAAGGGATGAAAAAGGTTATGCTTTTAGGGCTACAGATGCCTGGACCATAACTATGGAAACAACAGAGTAGTAAAAGACAAGTAAACATAGCAGAATGTAAAGAATTAATTTGAGCAATTAGTAACATTACATATATACACACATACACACACACACACATACATGTACATACATGTGTGTATGTGTGCGCTCAGTATAAAATGGTAAAATTATTGTGTTTGGGAAATATTTATAAATCAAAGAAATTTATGCCTGTGATTTGCTTCAAAATAATCAGGAGTTAGGAGAACACAGATAAAACATAATACACCATGAGTTCAATGTAGTTTAAGAGGGGTGAGGAGTACACGAGGTTCTATCATACTATTCTCTGCATTTCAATAGATGTTTAAAACTTTCCACAGTAAATTATGACAAAAAATATATATTAACAAACCTCACTCCTCTTTCAAACTTCTATCCTTTTTGGATCTCTAACTTCAAATTTTATACAAACAACATTTAAAATCATTTCAAAACATTATTTGAAGTATTAAATGTCACAGCCAACTTATAGACATATCAATAAACATCTTTGAATACAATGATAACTATTTAGCAGTTATGTAAACTAAGATGTTTCATTAAGAAAATTGTACAAGGGATTGAAAATAGAAAAGATTACACAAAACTGGAAGGAAAGAAAAACTGGGCAGTTATTCTAAACATACACTAGATGGCACTATCTCAAAACAAACAAACAAACAAACAAACCCCAAAGCATACTTGAGAATCCACAATTTAAAAAATCTTGAACCCTTCACATGAAACTAACGTAACATTGTGTGTCAATTATACTTTAATTAAAAAAAAAATCTTGAACCCTTCATTGCATTATAGTTTGGGCATGTACAATCACAATGTGTTTATTTGTTTATGAATTATAGACATGTAGTATGTATATATAATACCACAAATAAATAGAAGTTAGAAAAGAAAATAAATAAAATGCAAATAATATTTTAAACATTTAAAAATGATGACTTTGTACCAGTACCAGCTAATATATGAAGACAAAATATAGTTAGGACAAGGTAAATCACTTACATCATGAGCTATAAGCCCACACTTAAATACTGATAATTATAAATAATCAGCTTTGATTAAATAATCACTGGTTTTGCTTCATACTTTGGCTGATGAAGAGTCAACACTAGAAGTAAAGTAGACATGTATGTTTGATTTAGTACTCTCTCCAATAACTGGTTTCCTTGTAGGAATCTTTGGAACACTTAAGCATTTGACTAGTTAAAACTGTATAATATCCATAAATCCACTTATCCAAGCATAGGTCAACTGCAAAACGACACAATATGATGAAACGGAACTCCCAGCGAGGCTGCTGCTTTCCACAGCCTTTCAAGTCTCCCTTAGGATACTTCACATTAGGGTTATCAGTGTCAGTCTGTATATCCGATACTAGTTTTAGTTTTTAAAGTTCACATGGACGCATTCTAACATTTTCTTTCTATGACCCAGTAGGCTATCTTGGCAGCCACTGGAGTAAGTACACTCTCCTTTTAAGGCCACTACTTTACAGAATTAGTTCACATAATGCTCAGTACTTTTTCCCCTGAAAAGAAACTTACAATTTTCTTCTGGGAGAAAGTTTTAACAGTGAATGAATCAACATACCTTTGACTTTTTTTCTAGTATCATCATCAGCAGTTTTAGTAGTCGGGTTGTTAAATGCTTTTAGAATGCTAGCTTGTATTCTCTATAAAACAAATAAGAATTTTGTAAGAATCCATATTTGAATGTATTCTTATAGGTTTAGAGTAAGTTCTCCCTCTTTTCCCTCCTCTCCCACACTCTACCACTCTGTCCCTAAAATGATGTGTCATTTTAATCAGGACAAAAAGTAACACAGAGACCATGTGGAATTTCTTATCTACTGAAGAAAAAAATCTTACTATGTAAGAAGCTATTAAACTGGTCACTATGATCTTCATCTAGATTATTTATATTCCTATATGAGTAAAGTCCAGAACATCAAATAATTTCCACAGCAAGAAGAATACCCCAAATCTTGATCAGTTATCCTTTTATTTGAATTCAGTTGTCAATAATGATTATTAGTATTAAAGTCTCTAGCAGCTCTAAGGAAATGACAAGATTTATATGTTTCCATAGCTCTTTATGTTTCAGGAAAGATCCAATATCACAGAAAACTTTCAGAATGAAATAAAATCAGATTCCAAGAATAAAGACATTTGAGCTAACAAATTACCATCTTCTATACTAATTACGTCCCTCCTTAGTGGATGAATTTAATCTTCTCAAATTCACATTTTTATAGTGCACTGAGAGAAAAGCTTGTTAAAAAAAAAAACATCTGGAGGATAATTAAGTAAAGTCTTAATCACAGGTTTTCATATGTGAGACCACTGTTTGACCTGGACTTGCTGAAAATGATACCTAATTCTGTTATTAAAAAAACATTAAAGAAAAATGAAACTCAAACTGCAGACTTGCCAGAGAATCATAAAAGTACTACATAGCAGAATCCAGACACTTTCCACTGTTCAGAAAATTCACAGCCTTAAATATTTAAATCAATTGAAAAGAATAAAAACAAATTAAGCAGCCATGTCATAAATTTAGAAAAAGGATATCAAAGCTGAACGAAAGTAATAAAACTCAACAAAAGAGTTAATGAAGATAAAAGTATATAAATTGAAGAGACTAATAGATGAATCAAAAGCTGATTTTTGGGTGGGGATAAATAGACTTACTAGTCAATCTTAATCAAAGTAAGGATGAAAAGCATTAACATCACACCTAAGTAAAAGGAAACCACTAACAAAATTAAGGATATTTTAAGTAATTATGAGAGACTACTTTGCTCCACTCTCATGTAATTACATTTGAAAATTCAGAAAAAATTAGATAATTTTCCAGGAAATGAGTTCCAGAAGAGAGTACCTTCCAGCTTTCATGGGGTAGGTGAGTGGGCAGAGAAGAATGGTGTTACACAGTATTCCGTACAAAAAGTTCCAAGCCCTAACAATTTCATAGAGGAATGCCACTAAACATATGTTCCAGAGCATAAAAAATGGAAGCCTCCAAATTATTTTCATGAAGCATAATATAGATATCAAAGCTGACAGAGAATATATACAACACACACCAACATCGCGTATGAAAAAAAAATTCTAAATAAAATACAGAAGCACATTAAAATAATACAGTATCATTAGGACTTTTGTTCTAGTAATGCAGGGATATTAGGAAATCTATTCATACAAGTCATCATATTAACAGATATAAGAAGCAAAACATTATTTAATTAAATCCCTTGATTTATTACTATTATTTAGGACTGTATTAATGTTTTAGTCAATGCATTTGATAGAAAAATAAATCTCAGAGTATAAAAATTATAAAGGAGATAAAATTATTTGCAGATGATATGACTTTTTACTTGGAAAAGCCAAAAGAACAAACTGAAAAGAAAAACTACTATAAATAATAAAATAATTTAATATGGGGTATATAAATATAATGAAGTCAATAGCCTTCATACACACAAACAAAAACCAGTTAGAAGCAATGGAAGAAAATGCCCCATTTTTAATAACAACTAAAAAGATAAAATAACGAATAAACTTAAGGAATGTGTAAGATCTAAATGAGGAAAACTTAAAAACACTACTGAAAGACACAAAAGAAAACTTGATCAAATGGAAAGACACACCATGTTCCTCAACAGGTCCTAAATAAACATTTCAATCTTGCCCCCTAAATTTATGCATTTAACATAATTCCAGTAAAAATAGCAATAGGTTTTTTTTTTTAAATGTGAGAGATTGAAGGGGGAGATTAGTCCTAAACTAGATATGGAGAAATAAATAAGAATAGCAATGAAGAATCAGGGGTGGGGGGAACAGGAGGGTAGTGATAGATGACTGGTCCCACTAGATTTATTAAAATGCATTAAAAAATGGGCAGAGGACCTGAAGAGACATTTTTCCAAAGAAGCCATACAGATGGTAGATAGACACATAAAAAGATGTTCAATATCAGTAGTCATCAGGGAAATACAAATCAAACCTGCCACGGGATATTACCTCACACCAGTCAGAATGGCTAGTATCAAAAAGACAAGAAATAACAAGTGTTGGTGAGGATGTGGGGAAAAGGGAACCCTTGTGCACTGTTGGTGGGAACATAAGTTTAGTGCAGCCACTGTAGAAAACAGTATGGAGATTCCTCAAAAAATTAAAAATAGAAATACCATATGATCCAGTAGTTCCACTAGTGGGTATTTTTTTAAAGACTTATTTATTTACTTACTTACTTATTTCAGAGAGAGAGAGAGAGAGAGAGAGAGAGATAGCAAGAGAGAGTACAAGCAGAGAGGAGAGAGAGAAGCAGGCTCCCCACGAGCAGGGAGCCCCATGTGGGGCTCGATCCCAGGACCCTGGGATCGTGACCTGAGCCGAAGGCAGATGCTTAACTGACTGAGCCACCCAGGTGCCCCTCACTAGTGGGTATTTACCCAAAGAAAACAAAAACACTAATTTGAAAAGATGTATGCACCCCTATGTTTATTGTAGTGTATTTACAATAGACAAGATATGGAAGCAACCATGTGCCCATCAATAGATGAATGAATAAAGAAAATGTTCTAATGGAACACACAATGCAATAATTACTTGGCCATAAAAAAGAATGAGATCTTGCCATTTGCAAAAACATGAAGGGACCTGAAGGGTATTATGATAAGTGAAATAAGTCAGAGAGAGAATGATAAATACCATAAGATCTCACTTATATATGGAATCTGGTACAGCACTCTGGAAAACAGTATGGAGGTGCCTCAAGAAGTTAAAAATAGGGCACCTGGGTGGCTCAGTTGATTAAGCGACTGCCTTCGGCTCAGGTCATGATCCTGGAGTCCCGGGATTGAGTCCCGCATCGGGCTCCCTGCTCAGCAGGGAGTCTGCTTCTCCCTCTGACCCTCTTCCCTCTCATGCTCTCTATCTCTCACTCTCTCTCTCTCAAATAAATAAATAAAATCTTAAAAAAAAAAAAAGAAGTTAAAAATAGAGCTACCCTATGACCCAGCAATTGCACTACTGGGTATTCACCCCAAAGATACAGATGTAATGAAAAGAAGGGGCACATGCACCCCAATGTTCATAGCAGCAACGTCCACAATAGCCAAACTGTGGAAGGAGCGAGATGCCCTTCAACAGATGGATGGATAAAGAAGATGTGGTCCATATATACAATGGAATATTACTCAGCCATCAGAAAGGATGAATACCCAACTTTTACATCAACATGGATGGGACTGGAGGAGATTATGCTAAGAGAGAAAGACAATTATATGGTTTCACTCATACGTGGAATATAAGGAATAGCATGGAGAATCATAAGGACAGGGAGGAAAATCTGAATGGGAAGAAATCAGAGAGGGAGACAAACCATGAGAGACTCCTGACCCCGGAAACAAACTGAGGGTTGCGGAAAGGGAGGTGGGTGGGGGGGTGGGGTAACGAGACGATGGGCATTAGGGAGGGCACGTGATGTAATGAGCACTGGGTGTTGATGCAACTGATCAATCACTGACCACTACATCAAAAACCAGTGATGTACTATATGTTGGCTAATTGCATTTAAATTTAAAAAATTCAGTGCCTTCATCATATTAATTTAAATAAAAGATTTCACTTATATGTGGAATCTAAAAAACAAAATGAACAAACAAACAGACTCTTAAATTCAGAGAACAAACTGGTGGTTGCCAGAGGGGAGGGAGTGAGAGGACGGGCAAAACAGGTGGAGGGGATCAAGAGGTACGAACCTGCAGTTGTAAGATAAATAAGTCACGGGGATGCAAGGTCCAGCACAGGGAATATGGTCAATAATATTGTAATTACGTTGTATGGTGACAGATGGTGACTACACTCAGCAGGGTGAGCACTGAGTCATGTATACAACTGCCAAATCAATGTTGGACACCTGAAACTAATATGTCAATTATACTTCAAAATATTAAAAACTGAGGAAAAAACAATAAAATGAATAAATAGACTGCAGCATAAAAAAAGAGAGAGGGAAAGAGAAATGCAGTTCTGGAATGTGCTCTCTAGACTCTTTGCCCTTGGAAAGGATAGAGTGGAGTAAGATGCTAAAGACGATGATTCTAGATGTTTTTTTAGTCCTTTTCAAAGGGAAGAAAGTGTATCAAGAAGCAGGTCCCACCAGCCATTAATGAAGAGATTTCATATGTAGAGAAAGTCCGTGACTGGTGCATGAAAGGAAGAGAAAATACGCCAAAGTTTCCTTTGCAAGTTACTATTCCAAAAGATCCTCATCCCATCAAGTACATGACTCTGGACATAACAGAGCTTAAGGCAAAATAGGTAATATGGAGATCTAGACTTTCATAACGAAAAAATGCATTAAAACCTTCATAATTTAAAGTACGATCCTAATAATCAAAAAGATAAGCAAACAGAATCAAGGGGAAGTTGAGAAATAACCCCAAATACCTATGAAAAATTAGTATCATTAGGGTGTTACCAATTTAGTGGGAAAAGCATACTATACAGTGTGGATAACCGTAGGACAGTCAAATGGGAAAAAAGGAAATATTCTGGGAACAGGATAAACCTCAATAGATCAAGATTTAAATCTAAAAATGAATTATAAAGTACTAGGAGAAAACATGGGGAAATTCTTTTATAACCTAGGAGTGGGAATGCC